ATCCAACAACTGCACAAAATCAGATTTTGTCAGTAATCTGTTGAAGTGTTTACATGCACTTGAGTAATCCGATAAAGGGGAAACTCTGGGTCTACATGAGTCAGACAGTAATCAGATTTCTGCTTTGCAACCAGCCAATAAACTCACAGAAGATGACGCGACATAAACATAAAGTAAAACTCAAACTTCATGCCATGTAAACATCGCACCACTTTACCTGAAAATATGAACATACATCATCTAGAAGATGAAGAATATTTAAATCCTTCATTTCCCATTGCCTTAGATTCTGTAGCTCTATCTGTCAGACTATCAGTACAGGCTATCTGGTAGCTTTAGGGCTGTTCGATTCACCAGCTTCTTGATTGAATTTTCCCACTCCACCTTAAATACAGCAGCAGTTACATTCTGGCGCTTCAGGCGTCAGAACTGCTGGACTATTTAAGGTGGAACGGGAAAGTTTGCCAGTGAGACATAAGCATGTTATTAGCGATTTTTTATGCTTGTTATGAAGAAAACGACCATAATACACTGAAATGACATTGAACTAAGATAAAACAGTGGTTGTCATAATTTTTAAGAGAGAAAATTCTCACATTTGTGGGTTTCTTTGGTCTCTTCCTCAGCCATCTTGCCAGGTTTTCTTTTTTTCACATAACACTCTGTTTGGAGTGTTTCTGAATGTAGCCATGTAGCCCTAACACTTTGCCCTACCCCTCTATCTCAACAAAAGTTGGGACACCCTACCCCCTAGACATGAACACGCAAAACAGAGGGTTAAGGGCTCAGTGGTAGGGGCGAGGGGTGAAAGGGGATCGGGCCAAAGTATCGTAAAGGAATCAAATGGTGATGATGACAGAGATTTACACCTCTGGTGTTCCTCCTCCACAGGAGAGCTGTGATGGGCAGGGTGTCCTCTGAGAGGCTCTGCTGGCTCCTCACCAGTTTCCACACTGCCACCCAGTCACTGCCACAGTGAGTCTGAGTGAAACGGCCAGCGTGGCGGCCTACGCTCACAAACCTGAAACCCATCCTCGCCTGGTTGTGGCTGTTCACAAACGACGAGGGAGCTTCTCAACTCTCTTCCTCACTGGAGAATGTATGGAAAAGCTCTCCAGTCAGTGTTTCTGGGGGGACGAAAGCTGTTTTCTGAAAGATGGAGACCTGTAAAAGTGATGGAATATGAAGTCGCATGGATTCACAGCGATCAGTGAGGTCTATCTCAGTGAGGGTCAAGCTCAGCTTCAGTTAACAGGGTAAATATGCAAGTGAAACCCCGGATCACTCTAGAGAACATTATCTGTGTGCTTTTAGCAACGTCTTAGTCTTTTTTTGTGTCTTTCAAATCAGCCAGAGTGTTGAGTTGTGAGGATTCATTATGATTTTTTTTTTGGAATAAAGATTTTATTCAAATCCTCCTGTCATCTTTTATCCTATTATGTCTATTAAGTGTGCAATACTGTCTACTCCAATACAAAGTTTATGGTATTAATGAACTTATTACATAGTAGACAGTGGTGGTGATGGGAACCAGGGCTCACAATGTCTACAAGATAAACACAGCCATTTTATTTACTATCCAAAACAACCAGTGAACCTACCAAGTGTTATATGTAACCCTGATGATGGTAAAATAGTGGTTTAATCTCAAAAAATAAAATTTCTTTAGAGACTATTTTGCCTCACAGTGACCTGCATGTACTTCTCCACCATGAATGTATAAAATGTATACATTTTTTTAGGCCAGAATCTCAAGACTATCATATAACAATGACTGGCATCAGGCAGTATATTCATTCACGCGATAACATCCTGAGAGGAACCTTCTTCCCAAGTCCCTGATTGGCTGGATCGATGTACTGGAGTTAAGTAAGGGGTTGGGCTGCTTTTTGGATGTAAGCTGGAACTAAACTCTGCAGGAAGACAGCTCTCCCGGATCAGGGTTGGAGATAACTGCTTTAGAGCTTTAGACGTCTGGGGCCAGATATATAAAAGTGTCTTAACCCTTAGAAACCTAAAATTTCAGGGACTTTTTTGGGTCAATTACAATTACAATTGCAAGTATTTACATGAGACGGTCACACATGCCGTATGTTGTTATTTTCAGGAGACCCTGGGCTACTCAGATACGCCATTATTTGACATGTAAATGCTAATAGAAATGTGATATCTTTCTGAATTTGAGTCATTTCTGATCAACAATGTACCCAGTGCCTGCTAAATTTAGTATTTTTTTTAATTATAGAGATCTTGAAAACGAGTGCAGTTGTAGTTATCTTTTCAGAAACTGTTAGTCTGGAGTGTCTGTGAGCTGAAAGTGCAATCATTTTGATGGTGATTCATTCTGTTGGTTATCATGAGTAAAAATAAATAATTAGCATAAGGTGGACATGTTTTTTATTGATTTTCTGTCCTCTTGGATTCAGGCTGAGTCCTAAAACTCTGATACACAGCAAGACAGGCTTTATTTTTAATTACAAATCAAGTTATTTAATATTCAATATCAGATATTTTTAACACTCAAAATCAATGTAAACTGAAAGCCCTTTGTTTATAATAAGAAGGCGAAAAGCAGAGATGTAATATAACAGTAGCGAGTAGGTTTGGGTGATTTTGGAGCTGGACTGCTGGCTGATGGCCGATCACAGGTGGATGAAATCACTCTGGATGGTGAGGCAGAATCTGATGAGTGATCTGACATGTGAATCATGTCGCTGTTTTAACCCTTTGTTGGAATATGAAGGTCAAAAAGCAGAGCAATAGCATCAAGATTTTATGGGATTTTCCGAGCCGAATTACTCACTGATGACATCACAACTCAATGATGTCATGCTTGCTAGTTAGGGGCGGGTCTGCTGAATGTCCTGATATGTGGATCATGATTGTATCTTAAACCATTCTGAAGTTAAGAAGGCTAGAAGTGACCAACTGTAGGTTAGTAGGGACCCGTTCTCCGGGTCCTAGAGGTCAGGAAAGAAAATCTTCTTCTTAAAAAGAAAAAAAAAATCTTAAATGTGTTTTTTCTTAAGAAAAAAGTTACAAGAAATTGTTATTCTTCAAATAACTTCTTAAGAATTATCTTATTTTCTTCTCTTAAATATTTTCTTCAGATTAATTCTAAGAACAAGTGGTATTCTTGAAAATATTACGTTATAAATGTTTTCTTAACCTGACGACAGACTCACACTCATCTTAGGCTGTGAGAGTTGACGATGTCAGCGTCTAATTTTATCACATATGCTGCCACTGCTCATCCTGCCCGTCCTCATCCGTCACCCCACAATTATCATATTTTCCAATGAGGATATTTTTCCTGTTGGCTGTTTCTTCCACCATCACCTCTAGTTCTTGTTTGCTACTTTTTAAAAATGCTTGGTTTGGTGTTTTTCCTTCATTTTGCTCCTCTGAGCTGATTAAACTAAATAACAGAAATAACAGTTAATACAAATTCAAACTGTATCTCGCGTCATTTATGGTACCTGGTAAAATGCAACGTAGCTGATATAAGAAAACAAAGATTTTCTTCATCTTTTCTTAGAATTTTATCTTAAGAGAAGAGTTGAGAATTGAAGTTATTTTAAAGAATTGCATTTAAGAATATTCTTTTGAACTTCCAGTTAGTCTTAAGAACCTTCACAAGTTTTTTCTGATGAAAGCTTTCGTAAATCCAGCCCCTCTACTTGTTTCCAAAGCTTTGAATTGTTTTGCCATGAATACATTTCCAATCTGATCATTATGTATAAACCAAAAAGAACCTTCAGGTCATCAGGCACTAGTATTTTAATCACACCCAAAACCGATGACAGTGCTTTCAGCTATTGCGTTCTGGCTCTGCTCAACACTCTGCCTGATGGCCTACGATCTGTATTGTCTATTAAAGGCAAACATACATTGATCAGGCAGAACATTATGACCACCTCCTTATTTCTACACTCATTGTCCATTTTATCAGCTCCACTTACTATATAGGTGCACTTTGTAGTTCTACAGTTACAGACTGTAGTCCATCTGTTTCTCTGCATACTTTGTTAGCCCCCTTTTACCCTGTTCTTCAGTGGTCAGGACCCCCATGGACCCTCACAGAGCAGGTACTATTTGGGTGCTGGATCATTCTCAGCACTGCAGTAACACTGACGTGGTGGTGGTGTGTTAGTGTGTGTTGTGCTGGTACGAGTGGATCAGACAAAGCAGTGCTGCTGGAGTTTTTAAACACCTCAGTGTCACTGCTGGACTGAGAATAGTCCACTAACCAAAAATATCCAGCCAACAGCGTCCTGTGGGCAGCGTCCTGTGACCACTGATGAAGGACTGGAGGATGACCAACACAAACTGTGCAGCAGCAGATGAGCTATCGTCTCTGACTTTACATTTACAAGGTGGACTGACAAGGTAGGAGTGTCTAATAGAGTGGACAGTGAGTGGATACAGTGTTCAAAAACTCCAGGTCCTGACCACTGAAGAACAGTGTAAAAGGGGGCTAACAAAGTATGCAGAGAAACAGACGGACTACAGTCTGTAACTGTAGAACTACAAAGTGCACCTATATAGTAAGTGGAGCTGATAAAATGGACAATGAGTGTAAAAACAAGGAGGTCATTATGTTATGCAATATGTTCAGCCAGCTCGTCTCAAATTTGATTTAAAAATGCCTTTCAATTGAGAACCATTACCTCACCTAATTCAGATGTACAAGGACAATGCATATTAATAATCATTTCTGTAACTGTGAGTTTATCCAACTAAATTACCAAAAGCATTCATTAAACTGACAGTTTAATGGTCCACACATCCCTCATTAGACCATTCCAGGTTTCTGCACACGTTAAGTAGCAGAATTAAAAAATCCATTCATGAAATAACCTGCAGAATTAAAAACTCAGCCCAGTCTCACCAGCTCAGCTCAGGCTGTGTAAAGTTAACAGCACAACAGCGCCCTCTAGTGCTAAAAGGTTAGATTACACCACTTAAATTATTGCAGAGAGCAAATTTCCATACAAATGTTCAATATGAAAAATGTGTTTATTAAATTGTACACAACAAGCTGGATTGATAATGTGAAAATTATTTGGTATTTTGAATTTGGTCACTGCCAGAATACAGCCACAATTCACTTCCTTACAGAGTAAACATGATTTAAAAATGAATATTTCTACACCACAAGGTGCGTCCACGTCAAATCATCAGTCCTTATTTGATCATGTATGATTATCTTTTTGTACACAAGCCCAAACATTCCCAAATTTTTAACCAAAACATACAGCAGTACTTGTGGCAGTCCTCGGGGGTGCTCATGGGCTCCCTTGCAACCTTTTACATTTTTTTTTTCCCCCCAGAAACATTAAAAACATACTGGTTTTAGGTTCCACCAGGGGTCTCTCCTGCATTGAAGTGCATTTCTTAACCCAACATACCTGACTGAACTTAAAAAGCAGCTTAATGTTTCACAGATGAGTTCAATCAGGTGTAAAAGCACTATAAAGCAGACCATCATTATAAGAAGATACATGGTTCAACTGCTCTGCAACCCCTAATTCAACTCACTAGATAATCAAGCCCAATTTGAATCAGGCAAAAACATGTGCAGGTGCTCTCCTGGGCCGGATTCAGACAAGACGAGCGAGATTACATTTACTACAGAGGTTCTTTGGTTGCTTTCCCAGAAGCATCATTCCTAGCTTGGCCAATGTGCACCCCATCCAGACAACTGTGTGCTTGAATTGCAAGTCATTAGTTTACAATGCTTTCTTTTCCCCAGACAACAAAACACTGATTTTTTTTTTTTTTTAAGAGATCAATGCTAAAGATGCAGCAAAAAACTTTACTTAACACTCTTGATCATTTTAAGTAGTCATAATTAGGCACTTTGGTCAGACAGTAGACACGATTTGCTCGTTTAAAAGCCCCTTTTTTAAATTCCATGCTTTAACACGTTGCATCGTCTTCATTTTCTGACTGAGCGCAGTCGCTGAGAAAAATCCAGCTCATGCACAGGAAGTCGTATACTTAGTAAAGGTTGCAAGTATTCACTGAATACCAGAATAATCCACGGGAAGGTTCCAGAAGATCTGAGGGCTGCAGACATCATTGTTTTGGAAGAGGCCTTCTAAATAAGAGGATGTGGGGCTCTGGAAGACAAAAAAGTCAAGATGTACCTTAAGACAGGGAGTTAGACCTGAAATAAACAAACACACAAATACATACATACAAAACACACTGATTACCTATAAACCAAGTTTTCTGTCCAGCTACAGAGCAGCTTAACATCTAAAAGCAGCAAGTAGGGATGCACCAATATGGGAACTGTGGGCCAATTTCGATAACCAATATTTTTTCAGGTACATACATGAAGTCAAAGGTATGTGGACACCTAACCATCACACCTACATGTACTTGCTGAACATCCCATTCCAAAACGATGGTCATTAATATGGAGTAGACCCCCGTTTGCAGCTATAGCTGCCTCCACTCTTCAGGGAAGTCTTTTCCACAAGATACAAGAGTCTGTAGTAATTTTAGCCCATTTAGTCTAAAGAGCATCTGTGAGGTCAGACACTGATGTTGGACGAGAGGGTCTGGCCCACAACTGACATTCCAATACAACCCAAAGGTATTCAGTGGGGTTGAGGTCAGGGCTCTGTGTGGGCCACTGGAGTTCCTCTACACCAAACTCAAACCGTCTTTATGGAGCTGCTTTGTGCACAGGGGCTCAGTCCTGCTGAACAAGAAAGGGTCTTCTCCAAACTGCTGCCACAAAGTTGGAAGCATATAATTGTCAAAATGTCCTTGTGAGCTGTAGCTTTAACATCACCCTTCACTGGAACTAAGGGGCCCAAACCCTGATTAACAGCCCAGCCCATTATCCCTCCTCCACCAAACTACAGTTGTCACTATGTATTCCGGTAAGTAGCGTTCTCCCGGCATCCACCAAACCCAGATTTTTCCGTCACTGCTCCAGTGTTCAGTGGCAGCAGACTAACTTTCACAAACCGACTTGTGGCAAAGGCGGCATCATATGACAGTGGCACATTTAGAGTCCCTGAGCTGTTCAGTATGACCCATTCAACTACCAGTGTGTTTCTATGGAGATTGCATGGCTATGTGCTTGATTTTATACACGTTAAATCAATAATTAGAGACTAGATTCACTTTCATAAGTACTATGGAAAAACTAATATTTATTCTGTAGAATTACAAATACAGTTTAAAAGACAACTTCTTAGGGAGTTTTTCCTTGCCACTGTCGCCACTGGCTTGCTCAAGGGGGCTCGGACCCGGATTTCTTTTTGTAATGCTCATTTCCTTGTAAAGCTGCTTTGTGACAACACCTGTTGTAAAAAGCACTATATAAATAAACTTTACTACTTACTAAACTTTACAACGAAGAATAAATTCTAGCAGAACAGACAACCAGCATCACCTAAACATACTGCTTTTCTGGAGTTAAATAAGTCATCGAATGTTTTAACATTTCATTCAAATGTAAACATTTGGCCCACGTTGGTAATTTTTTTTTTTTTTAATAAAGTAAATCAGCAGACTGCTGATTCGGAAATCACTGTCCATCTCTAATATGAAAACATTGTTTAAAACAAAGGACCATACTGTACCAAGTATGGCCCAGTTTCCCAAAGAAAACTTCAGATTTACCACTACTTTAAAATCAACATTACACAAAAGAAGAAAATAAAAAGAAACAACTGTGAAGACCCAAAGAAGGTTCACTGGTGGTTTTGGATAGTAAATAAAAAGTCTTTGTGTTGTAGGCATTGTGACCCCTGGTTCCTATCACCACCACTGTAAAGAAAACAAAATCAGTAACTTTCTCTACAAGGAACAATTTCACACCACAGAACTCTCCACGTCTTTTTCATCCCAACCATTTAATTTATGCAGGAATTTTTTTTAAATCTGAAAAATTATTCCCTTTTAAGATCAATCTTTGTACTAAGACACCATTGTGGTATATATGTTTCAGGATGGCTATAGCACTCTCAAGAATCAAGGCTAAATTCTTCCAACCTGGCTATACAGTAAGAAAGTGGTTCATTATTCCAGTTCAGAGGTCACTTCATGCTAAAAACTGTGGTGCTTTTCCAGCTGATGAGTCAGATCAGCTCCGTTAGGTCATCAAAACACAAAACTATTGCTCATACTATAAAAGCTTTATCCACGATGCCCAACCCGTTTGTACTGGGGGGCAGAGTGTAACATTTGTGGTGGGCCAAAGAGAAAGATGGCTAGCAACCTGTTAGCTTTATGTTTTCACATGTTGCCAGTGCATGTGGATAAACTATGTTCTTTAAAATACTGCATTTCCTCACATGCAAGGCACACAGCCATGACTACAGTGAAAAGATGTTCTTCACATTAGTGGTCTCTAAAACCCCTCTTTCATCTGCAACACAGCCTGTTACACTGTTAGCTTGTAACAGGTAGCTACATAGCTCTTAACTGCTGCACTGCAGTTAATGACAAAATAGATTTTTCAAAAATAAAATATAAAAAGAGAAATAAGAAGCTAAAACAAGACGTGTTGGTGGAGGGAACGGGTGGGTACGGCAGCTTTCTGGTGGGCCAAATCAAACTCCCTTGCAAACCAACTTTGGCCTGTAGGTCCTGCTTTATCACATCGGATACTGACCAGGTTCATGAATCATATAATGCACCCATCCAAGAGACTGCTGCACTCCCAACCTTCTCCACTCGTCCTCAGACATCAGGTGAGACTTGGGCACTTGCTTGGCCAGCTCTCGAGGCAAAACAACATGCCTGGCAAGCAGACAGAAGAGCACAAAGATTAGGGAAAGCAGCAGATGCATCCATAGGTTCAATGAAGACCAAAGACAAAACGACACCATCATGAATTAAAAGAGTAGCCCGTACATCTGAATCACCAAACTAGATCAGGCAGTGCATGGCAATTCTACCAAAATCAAAAGATTAGTCCAAGTACAGGACTTGGACGAGGAATAATCCATCTAAAAGTTGAACTTACACATTTCCCTCCTCACCCCAAACGTATTTGATCAGTCAAAACATGCTTGGAGTCTAAAGTTTGCTTCTTAAGTTTTGCACTGGGACTTGAAGGAGTAATGGAAGTCAAATGAAACCCAAAATTCTTCTGAGGTGACTGTTACTGTTATATGATTAGGCTTTTGTCCTGGGTGATTCCATGATTCAGGAGCCATTTAAACAAAAAGAGATGTTTAAGGTTATTTTCCAACAGTAAACCTACAAAAAGGTTCTTACATGGTAACTTTGTTCACAGTAGCTTTAAATGAGCAGCAGCTTAACTAGCACCCATGTTAATGCCATAAGGACATTCTAATGCTTATAATACAATACATATTGTAAAAAAAAAAAAAAATTACACACACATATACATAATACTTCCTATGATCTTCAGGAATTTCAGATGATGCAAATTCCTGTTGAAAACCCCCTTCACACACTCCACATACTCCACAATCACACACCTCTTTTGATGCTCTACTTGCACTATCTGGAACATTACTGCTAACACTGTTTTACTCAAGTACTGTGTATCCTACCTCAGTAACTGCTGTGCTCACGTATGTTATCTGACTGCGTTCACTCACAGATCACAGCATGTTAAATATCTCTGCACCTTATTCTCACTACCGCATGTCCAGCAATGAGTGCTGTGTCAGTGCTGCACTGTCCTGTCTGTTTACAGCAGTGCTGCTGGAGTTTTTAAACACTGTGTCCACTCACTGTCCACTCTATTAGACGCACCTGCGTTGTTGGACCACCTTGTAGATGTAAAGTCAGAGACGACAGCTCATCTGCTGCTGTACAGTATGAGCTAATCATCCTCCAGTCCTTCATCAGTGGTCACAGGACGCTGTTGGCTGGATATTTTTGGTTGCTGGACTATTCTCAGTCCAGCAGTGACACTGACGTGTTTAAAAACTCCAGCAGCACTGCTGTGTCTGATCCACTCAGACCAGCGCAACACACACTAACACCCCACTATCACGTCAGTGTTACTGCAGTGCTGAGAATGATCCACCACCCAAATACTACCTGCTATGTGAGGGTCCATGGGGGTCCTGACCACTGAAGAACAGGGTAAAAGGGGGCTAACAAAGTATGCAGAGAAACAGATGGACTACAGTCTGTAACTGTAGAACTACAAAGTGCACCTATATAGTAAGTGGAGCTGATAAAATGGACAATGAGCGTAGAAACAAGGAGGTGGTCATAATGTTCTGCCTGATCGGTGTATATGGAATGACAATAAAAGCCTCTTGACTTGACAAACATGTGACTCTTCAGATTATTTAGCGATTGAGTGAACATTGTGAAAATGTACATTTCCATAACCTATAAATGGCTAACAACTGACAAATGATGCTTCAAGCATGAGCTGTTCAATGTATTCACTTATTAATGAAAAATACGGCTTTTAAGGTATTTTTATGGTTATGTAGTATAGTGGGCGGACATTCTTGGCCAATCCACCACATCTGGTGTAAGAGGGAAACATTAAATTGGATTTTTCTGTGAACAGTTCCTTTAAATATCCGACCCTTTATAATGAAACATAGTAAGTAATGTAAATGTTATAGGTTTAGTATCATATATAACAGGTACACACTTAAAATCCTACAACCCTTTTTTTTAAGGGTTCTTTAGTGAAGGAAATTTAGAACCATTCTGTTGCTTAAATGGTTCTTTGCATGGTGAAATGGCTCTTCAGATTGACTGAGAATGTGCTGTATATGGTTCTATATCGAACCTGTTTGAAAATGCTTCTATATATCACCCAAAAGGGTTCTGTCAAGCTTGTCACAACGTAAGAATCTATGTGGTGCTTTATAGAACCATTTTTAAAAAGGTTCTACACAGCACCAAAGGAAGGGTTCTGCTATCATCAGGATATCACGCCTGTCATAATACAAGAACCCTTTTGGTGCTACAGAGAGCCACTTTTAAAAAGGTTCTGTACAGCACCAAATATTAACCTCTTCAACTCCTTGAGACCACCGGTGGCTCCAAAACACACTTCGTCATATTCTTCATAACTTACATATTTCGTAAGCTACATTCTAAAGGTGGGGGTCGTATGAGAGCCGTAACTGTCTTCTTTCCAGTCAAATAGATGGGTGATGTAATTTTAAACCCTTATAATAAAAATGCCTGAACTCAATATTCTTTTCTACTGAAAGTCGACCCATTTTTCCACAAATCTGAGCTATAAACTATAAACAGATGGCGTCTCTTCAGTGATCTGCTCTGTAAAAATTACTTTTACAAAATAATACAAAGAGCGTCTAAGATTTTTGGCTTTCAGCAGTAAATTGTAAGCATATAGCAATATGTGTGATCATAAAACACATTTAGTGTTAGTCTGAGGGGAGCTTTTACAAAAAAATTAATAAAATAAAAATGTACATTTATTTCATGCAGTTACTGAATAATCTGCCTTACGAATTGGTCATGTAAATTCAGATGGACAAACCAAAATATACCCCTGGAGAATAACAGCACCAAAACGAGTTCTTCTAGTGTTACGATGTCAGCAGAAGTACCTTTTGGTGCTACACAGAACCATTTTAAATAAGATCATCTATACAGAACCTTATACAACACGTTCTCATTCATTAACCTGAGGAACACTGCTGGGTGTACACAAGGCGAGAAAAATAGAACTACAATTCCCATTACAAACATAGAAAGCAATGAATGAAATAGTGCTGGAGTAGAGTTTAAAAAGGCTCAGTCTGCCTCAAAAGCTATTTTATTGCCATCTCAAACAAAATGAACACGTTAAAAGTCTGCAAATTAGAAAACTCCAGAAATCACGGCGCCCCCAGGCAGACAGGAAGGCCTCAACAACCTTAGCTAAATAGCTAACCTAGCTAACTCAGCTAAGACACAAACACACGCCCTGTATTAAACACTGGCTGACAGTTCCTGAATCAGAAACACACATTTACTCAAACTACTTTCTTTCACGAAGCCTAAGTTGGCTGGTTCACCAACTTCTTCTTCGAACTTCTCCGTTCCACCTTAAATGGCGAAGCAGCTCCTATTACCGCAGTACCATTTAAGGTGGAACGGGAAAGTTCGAATAAGACCAGGGTTAACGTTACCTGTACTCGTACTGGTCGTCGTTGTATTTATCAGAATAGTAGATCTGTTTGTGCGCCATGACAAACCGAAGCAGTAAGGTGGGAAAATAAATTCAGTCACATAAACAAAAACAGAACTAAATGAATTTGTTGGGGTGTTTTTTCCAGTAATCGTCGGCTGGATGGAAACTCGACGGAGCCGCAAGACTGTTTGAACACCGTTTTTTTGAATGAGACTCGGCTTCTCTGATAGGACGCGACGGCATCACGTGACCACGAAACGCAACCGCGATTGGCCGTTGCTCAAGCTCTGAAAGAAGAGGCGCTTTCGAGGGCTCGATCTCAAACAGCTCCCTACTCCTCATTTCGTGCACTACATAGATTAAGTCACAAACGTATCGCTTTTATAATCAAATCGTGCACTAAATGTCCAACAGGGAAACAATTTCATGGCTTAAGAGTGTCTCTTGGACGTTTAATGTGCTATTTTGACATTGAAGGCGTCATGTATCATAGTTCATGGTCTTTGTAGTGCACTATATAGTGAGTACGCGGCCATTTGAGATTCAGCCAGAGTGTCCATCTGACTACACTGAAGCTCACTTCCCGCCAACAGAGGGCAGAGCTCTATAAAAAGTAAAACCTCTTTAAGGAGAGGTTAAACCTTCATAAATAAACCTTATAAATATACATTTATACATACAATTGAAATGTCATAGTTTATAAAATCACAGTTTTTAAATGCTTAAATATTTATTGTAAAATAATGCATTAATTTCCTGAACACAGAGCAGCATAAAACATTTTAACACTGCTGTTATATTTTTAAGAGCTTTTAAGCTCGAGTTACAGGAGTTTAAAACGGCGCCTCATGTACGTTCATGATGTCATTGAGCACGAACAGCAAATGAGCTGCTCCGCTCGCCAACCAATCAGCACTCGGTAGCTGTAATGTTAGCGTCCTGCTGCACAAAACCCGATTGCTGTATAAAAAAGGAAACATACAGGTCAGATTTAGTGAAATACATCCGTCTGCTGTCTAAAATTAAAGGAACGTTCTGGGCGAGTGATTAGAAACTATATTAACTTTTCATTTTTAGCCGTTGAGCTCCATTCACTCCCATTCTTTGAGGACTCGCTCGCGGGCGCCAGCTACTGTTTTGAAGTCCTGTTTTTGATATAACGGGGGAAATAGGAAGAGGCCAGGCTCCTCATAAACCAGCTCCGGTTTTGTAAGTCATAGTAGCTCTAGTAGCGTTTCATTGACTGGACCACTAAGTTTGCTAACTCCTGACTCCAGCTAGCTGTTGTCTAAGTCGTTAGCCTAGGGATTCACACACTTTTTCCAACCTATGCTGTGAATGCTTGAATGATGTTAGTAAAATGGACAAGAACATTATTTTTGTGTTATTAGTTTAAACAGATGTGTTTATTCTTTATCGTAACTTAGATGAAGGACAGACTATATTTTAAGAGGACTTCATACATAAGTGCAGGTAATTCGAAAGGGTTCACACACTTTTTCTTAATACTGTAAATTTGATACTGACCTCTGTTCAGGGAGATTAGAGGAAAGAAGAAAGAAAAGGCAGCAAAGACAGAATTTAACAATGTGAAATGTTCTATTTAGAGTAAAAAGACCAGTAAAAAAATCCCAGAACACCAGTAAAAATGCTGCTATTTTGCTTTCTTTTCCAACTTATCAACATAATAATGTTTGAAATATCTACATGAAATCCAGAATTTCTTAATATTTGGTAGTGTGTCCCCTTTAGCTTTAATGACAGTGTGCACTCAAACTACATGAACTCCACAAGTTTGTGAAAAAGCCTCAGATGAGCAGATAAGATCCACCTGAGAGTCTGAACATCAGCTTCACTGGAAGGAAAAAGGCTCAATATACAATCTGACCTTTTTGTACAAAGGCCTTAACAAGGTCACTGTCACAGATCTGCTTATATTTGAATACGGACCTAGAAATAGTGCAGAATTGGTGCAAAAACCAGGATCGTCAATATTGTTATTTCACATATGGCTCTATTTCGTACTTTTGTACATTAGTGCCCTCAGCAGTTTGGTTCCTCCTACTGCAGAAAAGCTTCCCCAGACACGAATACTGCTCTGCATTCAGTGTAAATACTGCATGAAGGTGCTCTGATGGAAAAACATTAATAATATGAACATCAACATTTCTTACCTCACACATTTAGAGCATTAAATATACAACAAGGAACCACAATGACTTTGAAAAATGCTACAAAGTCAGACTCAGTTTGGGTCACAGATGGGGGAACTACTTTGCTTCACAACACCCTGCAGGTATTTCTTTGCCAGGAATGGATTAAAAATCTACCCCATCACCACCACTGTTAACAATACTGACATGACCAGTTTCTCTAGATCAGACCATTTAACACCAAACAACCCTGAATGACTTTGTTTACATCTTAATGACTTAATAGTCGAGGAATTTCGAAAAATAAGTGGAAATTGTATTTTTAATGTTTGAACAAAAGCAATTTACAGTAAAAGTTACACAATTTTAGGACGTCTGTCATCAAATGGAACTCACATTTTTTAGATTTACCTACAGAACACAGCATATTCAAAATGCGGGAGGGCAAAAAGATAATATGTTTAGGCTTTTTAATGAGGAAAAGGGTGTTTTTTGAGAAGGTGACGAAGACTCAGGAAATTTAGAGGGGTTCCTCGTGCCGAGATGGGATGCATCCGAAGCAGAAGACTCTTCTAAGAAAGTTGGAGATACGAGTTCGGAGCTTCTTCTTTTTTCTGGATGTGCTGGCATCCTCAGTACCTTCAGACAGAGACAGAAGGAGGAAGATATCAGTTTGAAGCACTGGAAAAATTTGGACAACCTTAAACTCAAAACATTATGAAATTTCAAGAGGAATTGAGTCACTCACTATTAGCACAGGCAGGAGTCTCCAGGTCTTCGTTGTTCTCCACCAAGTCCTCAGAGGCCTCAGTCGCCTGGAAATCACAACACAGTTAAATTACATTAAGTGAAGATTCCAACATAAGAGACTGAGCGTTATATTAAGAGAAAATAGAGGATCAATTCACTCTGTTTACCTGAACAGCAGGGATGGAGCTCGACAAATCAGGGGAATCTTCCAGGGGGGATTCAGCAGGCTTCACCAGGTACATGCAGGGTCTTTTTACATGGCCGTACCTTTGATAGTCCTGGTAGCTGGTGAAGATCTCAGAGCACTCATCACTCAGATCACTCAGGTCAGGAGATCCACAACATTCTCGGATCAGGTCCTCGAATTCTGATGGACTCGGTTCACTGAAGACGGTGCTGCAGGACGAGGTGCTCAACTTTCTTGAAGTAGCACTCTCACTCCTTCTCTTGGACTCATTGGCTCCAGAATACTGAACTTCAGGTAACCCCAACTCCTGTGATGTTTCCTCAGCCATGTCTGGAGAAGAACTAGAGACACTGAAACATCCCAGAGTGTAGTCGACAAACGCTATCAGGATGGCGTCAGCGACGTAACTGATGGTCCACTGGATCTCACGAGATGCTCCCTTCATCAAGCACTTATCCAAAAGGCTTTTGTGTGCCTCATCGACAATATGAGAAATGGCTTCATTCTCATCAGGGAAGAGCCGCCCACCAAGAACCTGGTAGGTAATTCTTATCCGGGACAGGGTCTCTAGTTCCTCCATCAGATGATCCACCAGACGCTCATAGAGAAAAATCACAGGGACCCCGACATTAAATGAAGACTCCACACACTTGAGGAGCTCCTCAGCTGTCTTCCTGATGAATGTGGGAGGCACAGTAAGGACCTCAGAGTCTTTAGGATCCCGGCTCAGAGTTCCTACCTCGACTGCTGTCGATGACCTGGACTGGCAATTCGCAGCAGAGGACACCTCCTCGACTTGGGCCTGACCCCCTTCAGGTTCTTGCTCCGGAGCCAGAAACTCCTTAATTCCATGCAGTACTGGAGTTTCATTTCCTAACAGGCGAGCATTGAACAGGGCTTCAAGGGATTCGCTGAGAAGATCAAGCGTCGTTTCCGAGGTTCTGTGAAAGATGAAAAGCTGGCTTTAGTCTTGGGTGTAAACTAATGACTTGAATAATCTATTAAGTGAGTAAAACACACACAGAGAACCTGAACAACACTCACTTTTCTGGTGGTACAGGAGGTGGTGGAGATGGATCATCCAGGTCAATGATCTCTAACCAATCATCTGCAATTATTGTGGCACATAAAGGAGGAGCCCAGTTACATTAGTGAACACATTCTTATGCTCAGAACTTAAAACTACAAATGGATTCAACAGTTGATTTTGACCTCTTGAAACTGAAATATGCAGAGAAGCTATTCCCAAAATTATAAGACACTTGGGCACCACTAAAAACTCTCATTTTGGGTTCTTACCTTTCATGGCTCGAGCTGGTGGTGGACAGCTGTCTTTGATCGGAGGTAGGACGCCATTAGACTGAGCATATACAGCTGCATCCAGAGCCTAAACAGAAGATATAAGATATATAAGATATAAGAATATAAGAGAATTAAGCACAAACGCATTCCTAATGTGTGTGTATATATATATATATATATATATATATATATATATATATATATATATATACACAAAAACCCAAACTTTAACACTCAGATAAAGTGTATCCACATACCTGACAGCTCTTTCCTAGCTCTTGACTGAGAGCTGGTAGCTTGTTGAAGCCACTGTCCTCAGCAGCTTTGAGCTCCCTCTTCTTGGTAGGACCACGGGAGCCTTCAGCACCTTTATCCTTTAGCTTTCCACTCTAAAGACAGATAAATCACGAGATAAGCACATTTTCCACAGCATATACATCATTCTGCTTTCTGATGGTCAGACGTCAGGCACAGAGAAGTCTGTCATCATCAAGTCATCATCATTTTTGTGGATTACTGTGGCTTAATTTTTTAACGTTCTTGCTGTCGTTCTAGAGCTGCTCAGTGTTTTCTCTGTTTTTAAAGAATGATAATAAAGATCTTTCTGTCTGTCTGATCATCAGCATGGCTCATCCTCTTAACGGCCCGTATTATCAAACGTCTTAGAGTAATCATACTGATCTAGGATCAGCTTATGCTGTTTATATAACACTGAATAACATTCCATGACCTGATGAGACCTGATCTTAGATCAGTGCTCTTTCTCTGAGACGACTCATTAATGTGGATCAACATCTTTTAATGAA